TTGTGCAGAAAAAGTTTACATTGGTGACAAAGAAGGCGACGCTACGTGTAGAATCCGGCAATATGGGCTGCTGACGCCGGCCAAAGGGATTAGTTCGTACCTTTACTGTCAACAACCACCGAGGTTGCCATCGAAAAAAATCGACTACAACTAGTAAATAAAACGGACCTCGTCTTCCACCATAACAACGTCAAACGAAATGCATTTTTAGCTAGCCGGCAAAAACTCAGAGAAGTTGAGAAGGGATGAATTCGCTATATAGCCCGGATCCTCTGCCGGAGTTTCTGCCGAACTTCCTTAATAGCATTCACTCAGCTTCAAAGGAAGAATACAAAACATGCCGCTTAGAAACCACATCAAGCTCTACGGTTTTCTGAGTGACTCTTTTGTCGTAGATAAAGGTGGCAGACCTTTAGTTTAACCAGTTCGCTTTGAAGTATAAGAATAAAGCTTTTTTGATTTCAAAACCGTCAATACTTTCTCGGCCATCTAATATATTATGTGCTCGTCATAATAGAGTAAACCAGTATAAAATAATATAGAAAAGTCAAAATATTCTCAAGAGCTCGGCATCTGTAACCTTATTAGCGACGGAGTATAATTCGTGATTATAAAGAGAACGCATATGATTAGTCTACACCTTTTTTTGTCGAGGGAAGTATAGGTCAAGCGAAACGCACTCTAAAGGTCATAAACTAGTGCAACATACTCTTGTACTGTATAGCAACGATCTACTATTATATACGTAACGTTTAAACCTCTAATTGAGTACGTATAAATATTTATAATATTGTTAAATATAGGACATCGTCAAGATGTACTGACTTGTAATGTTTCAAATATTATCTTGTACAAAATTGCTAACAACGCACAACGGAAAAAGTCCCGCTTGATAGCTAAGCTATATTCAGTAGCTCGTTACGAACACACGTGAGAGGTCCCGCCTTCGTTTGGTTAGGTACATTGCTCTAATTTATTCAGCTAATATATGTGGCAAAAAGTCGCATCGGCAACGAAAAAGGGGACAAGTTTGTGTCGAGTTGAAAGGTTCATTTTTTTCAACGATGAAGGATTGTTACTCTGATATGTGACCGACAGCAGCTGCCGGTACTTGACGTTCGAAGCTGTGCTTTTGGTATGCGATCCTTGAAATTTGCGTAGGTAAAAAAAAAAAGTATCAGTTATTAGGTTCTATATTAGACGTATCTACAGTTTTTCAGGGACGTGCAACAGGCTCTTAATGCGGTGAGCATTAAGAGCCTGTTGTAAACATAGAGGACCTGACTCGGACGGCCTTTTACTCGACGGTAGCATACTAGTATACAACTGAACATATTCTTTTGGGTAAAGACACAAAACAGCTCTCGAGTTATTGGCGGCACAGTGGGCTGGATTAAAAAGTCAACGCAGGAGTAACACGTGTATTTAACAATTACCACCAAGCCATGGCTGTGCGACTGTCGAGGATGCCCAGCTTAGTAAGCCGGGCTTTAGTGGGTGAGATTGCCGTGATAATAGGCGAATACGAAGTGTGATCCGCATATATTAGCCCTTAATCTCCCGAAAAAAATACAAAAAAACAAAAAGCTGCTTGGTTTAATGCGCAAACCAAACTGCAGACCTATGTGATTGATTTCGAAGTTTATTCTAATCCTTCCTACGTAAGAAAACACCGGATGCTAAATTCTAGAAAATAGTTTTGCCCATCCTAACGACATCGTTTCTTGTTACTTGAAGCGCTCGCTTGTTAACAGGACAACAGTTTTAATCTAATGTTGATTTTGCCTTCTGATTTCGTTCGTGATCCAAGTATGAGCCCTGGGATTTTCTATTACTTCCGTTAATCGATTCTGGGATATTAGCAAAAGGATGCAAAAATCATGATACTCTACGAATTCTTGAGTTAGTTTTCTTTGTCTGCAAGCAGAAGGACATATTAACCCTTTATAGACGCCAAAGAGCTGAATAATTAAGGTTCCTTTTTGTAATGATCTAAGTACTTGTAGAGTACAACATAGGTAGAATGAAAGCTGCAATGTTTTTATTACGCAATTGAAGAATTCCATTGCAGTTGTCGGTAGTACACTCGCCGTCGTTTTGCTTGCTGCTCACGCCACGAGGGGTGCAGGTCATTGCCACGGTCCTCTCATGTGAAAAGTTCCGCGAAGATCATGATCAGGTAACGAGACGTGGCCTTGTGTTAGAAGACGAGACGCAGACGGAGGCTCTTACGCCAGAGTTCACCACCCCGATGTCGACCACACCACTGCGATTGGACGACACCTGGTGGCCAGTCTAAGCTAACCATATTTAGCAAGTTCACGTCTATACGAAGATTCCAAGCGCGTGTACTTGCGAAACGTCCATCTACCCGGGCAGCAATAGAAACAATTGATTAAATCAAGCTGAAGTACTATGCAACGACGATTGCCGTGTGCCTCTTGTCCCTAGGAGAACTGCGTTGTGCAAACGTCACCTCGTTATTATGGTCTGCAGCTAGCGCCGCTGGTTTAACCTGTGCGCTAAATCGCAGTTGCAGGTCTATACCAAAAAGCTTCTCTGTCTCTGCAAATTGACTTGGGATAACGCACATTATTTCCTGCCTAGGCCGTTTGCATCTTCTTTGCCTAACTTTCTAGCGTTTATTGATTCGACGACGATTACCGTGTTACTATTACGATAAAGCAGACTTGCAAGTTGATGCAACAGTGTGCCTTTCTGCGACCCGCTTAAGTAACACTACTCATCTACAAGGCATAGTAATATGAATTATGCCATCTTGTCGCTATATTCTATTACCCTTGTCACGTGATTTCCATTATTCGAATGTTTCTGGTGCCCCTGTAGCGTGAGGTGCGTGACGTGCCTACACGTTCATACTAAACATATCGACTGGAAGACCGTCATAGCAATTTATCGTCAGGAAGAAAGGTGAAGTCATCGGACCTCCAGGCAAAAAGAGTCTCGCCGGCCCCAGTGGCTGAACGGCAATAAATCAGCCTATTGCAGCTATTAACGTATTACAAACGTACCTATATATTTGCATGGCTCATTGGACTCATGATATATTGCGCTAAGTTCTGATTAGAGCACAACAAGTAAAATTTGTTTTATCATATTAATTTCCCTTTCTACCTTGTCTGTGCTGTGGGGCGTTGAAACACATTTAACCAAACTTACGATGAAAAGACACATCGAAACTCGTTGCATTTCCGAAAATCCTGCGACCTTTGTGATGGCAGAGAATTGTTCTTCCTTTATGAATTGTGCAAACGCCATGACGATTAGTTAATCTATGAGACAGTGACACTTCGAACCTTCTCCCCAAGCCGTTGACCCTAAACGTGTACCGTATTGACTTCTCGCAAAAGTAGCAATAACTCTTTTTGCCACAGCACGGTCGCTTTGCAGGCGAACTTCTTTGCCCATATCAAATTCTCGCCGCACATTTAAACCACCACCTAAGCTAGCCCAAATATTTTTTCCAGTGAGGAAGTGGGCTTCAATAAAAGCGCTCGGCCCTTGACGTGTTTTCGTTCATTGGACGCTGGGACACACCGGGCCAAAGATTAGAAAGGAAAACCAACTATCCTTCCCTTGCTAAGGAATTAGGGAGCAGAAGTTTTGGCTCCTTCAAGCGACTGCTGCAGCGCGACAGTCTGTTAAAAGTGGTGACCAAAGACAGGATACCAACAGGTGTTGGCCCGGCAAGAAGTCAAGTCAGCTTTGTGAAAACCAAGGAACTTGGCAATATGCTAATAGGATGACCCTTTCAACAAACTCCTCTCTCGGTCATGTAAACGAGTGAGGAGAGACGACCACGACCAAGGGAATATCGTCGCCAAACTTAGTGCACCGACTGGAAAAACGGTATGAGTATCTAACGTGAGTAGCAGTAATATCAGCTCTAGTTTTGTTAGTCCTTCACAAGACGAAGACGGCCATATGGCTAACATTAAACAATGGAACTAGAACAATTATATCGTATGCTTATAAAGTAACTTTGATTCGTTTTTAACGAGGTTCGAAAGCGCGCAGTTAATCATCAGCCACTCTATTATACATCATGCTATTAAAGAGAAAAGATCATTTTGTTACAGAATATTGGCGAGAGAAGTGTCATCTGAGTCTACACGAGAATCCTTTTTAGTATGCAAGAACATGCAGCCAATTTGAAGTTCAAATGGCCATGTTCGATATGGGGGTAGCCTGTGTTTGCATAGGTGCACTAGATTTGTTGGGTTGCTGGGAATATGTCATATATATATATATATATATATATATATATTTCTGTGAAATTTCTAAATGAATTACGGTGAGGACTGTTGATATTTTTGCGTTATATCCAGCTTTAGGGACGTCACGTCTTCACTTTACAGAAAGATCTTTTATTAGACCTTGTGCTGTCTGCACTGAAGATCAGTAGCTTAATTAATAAAGATGGTTTAAAGAAGATAATTCCTGAGAGGCTTCCCTTTCGCTATATTGTTTTGTCCCTGCTTTCTTATGGATGGGGGGCGAAAATCTCAGCCAACAAGGCCTCCCGTAAGCGCTTATAAACTAAAAACTAAACAAATTTATTATTTCGTCGTATGCTAGTGGTACAACCATAATCAAGCGGTGGAACAACATTGTACATTGTCCTTTTAATCTGTTAGATTGAATTAACTGTATCATTGACAATGGCATCAATGATGAATCTAGAAGCTAAAAATATATTTATGCCAGAACGCATACGACCCAGATTAAGTGCTGATCCGAACAAGGCATCTTAAACTAATTTAGAATCCACGATACTGATGTAGATCTCAGCAGAGTAATTATTTTTTCACTTTTACTGTCTGTTGCATGAGCTCCCTTGGGAGATTCAGAGACTTCCGCATTTATATAATTTCACCCCCCCCCCCCCCTCCGCCCCCGCACGCTTCCCTTTGTAATCCCATATCTATCTGAATTCGTTTGAATTGCACTGAGCCAAAGCTCACCAGTAAGCAACTCACCTGAATACGCGACTGATTATTCGCGTTTGCCTTAGCCTCTCCATTAGCCTTACAGGCCATAGCACCAATGTCCGTATGGAATAGGACTCGAGCCATTCGTCCGTACAGGACACAGGACAGAATGAGTGGAATGACGTAGAATAGGATGATGTCAGCAAAAAAGAACCGCATATAGAAGGATCTATGTAAGGAATACGTGCATGTCTCTATGTAACGGTGCTCGTATCCGCGATAGTGAATCGGCTTCGTCGTTGTGAGGAAGAACAGCCACGGACAGCAATAACACAGAGCAAAAAACCACACGGCAAGAATTATCTTCTTAGCACGCTTCACCGTGCACATCGTCTGTGCCTTCATCGGTAAACAGATGGCTATATAGCGTTCGACGGTGAACGCAGTAATTGACAGCGACGAGACATTGATGCCCAGGTACTGGAAGAAAACGAATAGCGCGCAGCCCGTCCGACCAAAGACCCACTCATCCTCGAGGATGTACTGGGCGAGAATCTCGTTCGGAATCGCTGACAGAAGTACTATGAGATCGGCAACTGATAACGAGACGAGGTAACAGTTTGTTGGTGTCCGCATCGAGCGCGTCTGGGCGACCACAGCAACGACCATGGCGTTGCCGGCCACTCCAATAACGAGAATGGCCCCGAGAACCATGGAGCCTACAACAGTATCGACCATGGGCCGGTAGCGAGGCTCCCGTGGACGGATAGTTGGTTCACTGACGCTATTGGCGCGTGCAGTTGCGTTTGTAACGCTGCCACTGAAACTGCTGTTGGTCGTGATGTTGCTACTACCCCCTATATTATCAATACTACCTGCGGCGTCACCGTTTTGACTGTCCGCATTGCCTGTGGCGGGCGACGATGAGAGCGACGTCAGTGCAGCTTCTTTACGGCCAGAGTGAGCAGCAATGTTTACATGAGTGCTACTCGCGAAGCCAATGTCCATTATTTTTCTACGGTTGGTGCCGCTTAATTCGGACGGCGCGGGCGCAGTGAGATTATCTGTTAGACTATTAATATAATGACCATTGTTATCACCGTTATGATCAGCACCAGTGTTGTTATTAGAGCTATTAATAATACTGCTGTTATTTGTATTCGTTCGATTACTGCTTGTATTGTTATTGTTTGCCCCTATAGTTGTGATTGTACATGGGAGCGTATTGTTCGCGCCTGCGCTTCCGCTGCCGCCATGTGCTTTTCCGCCGACGCATGTCGACTTAACCGTTCGCGCATCAATGACAAGAAATAATGTTACTAGTAGCAGCATTCGTCGTCTTACGTGACAGAACGCCGGAGCGACTTTTTCTCCGAAGCAGCACATCATGCGATAGCGACGGCTCTGGGCACAACAGAAAATAGCACAGAACTAACGAGTATAATCGAATGTGAAAGCACTCGGAAACGAGACCTTCGATAGATTCGGTTTTCTTTGAAATTTCAGCCGACCTAAGTTAAACGTGGCTGGGTAGTGGTGAATTATACAAACGCACAGGCTGACACACTATCACATTGTAGACATGGCGCATGTAGCAACAATCAAAAGAAGAAGACGACATGGTTGTAGCTATTATTTCGTAGTCATCTAAAATTGTTTCGTAGCCTGGATATGACATGGTTTCGTTTCTGTTTTCTGAAAAACCAGTACAAGATCTTTCTCGACTCGTTAGACTGCTAGGTTACGTCCAGGGGCACGAGTAACAAACATCCAAACAAATGATCGAGTTCAATGGTAATCGCCATGTCACATACACATGCGTGCACGAAACCACAAAAGCGGCGACACGGCACTGTGTTAGCTAATGGATAGAAGAGTACGCGTATGGCTGGGCCCGTTGAAACAGGTGAACTCTTAAGAACTTCTTCGCAGTACTTTAAAACTCCAATAACGATCGAATGTGCTCACTTCGTGACGACTGACGACCGACACGTAAAGCACGCTGGTTTCTGCTGAACTCCACCTCAGTAAGACCTTTCCCACATCACAATGTTCAGCTTTTCCGCAGCTTTCCCAATAGGAAAGGACGCACTGTGAAAGAGGGCAGCAGCAGCCCATGTGATCGCCGGGTGTCATGAATCTTGTTACTACTATGAACCGTATTATACCGCACTCGTTATTCGGTATTTCGGCACCCATGATACTGCACTTGTAGTATGTTTGCCTACTGAACTTAGGTGCTCATGAAGTTATCTAGATTGGTTCCGTGACAGCCATATCGATAGCTAATCTTGGAGACTCTAGATTTGAAGCCGGGCGTAGATACATTTCGTTTTACGCTGGGATCCAACCGTCCGATGGAACGTCCAGCGGCGGCGCCGGACTTAAGACTCGAAACATAGAAAGCTTGTTTAGGTTCGTTCTGTGCTGCTAACGTAAAGCTTAAACCAAGACAGTTCCACCGTACATTATTTTCTCAGAGGCCGAAAGGCTAAACAGAAGCTTCCGGTGATTTATAAATGGGATCATTAATTATTAATAAATAACAATCAGAGATTTGAATATCACTCGAACTACCACATCCCAAAGTAATTAGACAAACCAGCATAATTGTCCAGTAATTGTTGTGGTACAAATCATTATTTAATTATTATATATAAAAATTAATATTAGTTAGCTTCAAATAGAGTACGCAAAGTATCTGGCTTAAATGCATAGTACAGACGTCACATGCCATACCGTGCATTGTATAAGGACTGAAAGTCCTAAAAACATATTGCATTCGAGCAAAGCTGTCACATGTCCTTAAACATTTCTCAAACCCTACTTTTTGAAGTCTCCTGGGGGTTACAGAGGCTTGGATACTTTAACTTCTGCGTATCATTATCTTACACAGAAATCCTGAATGCTAGCAGTGGTTCGATAAAATGAAATTGCTAGATAAAGCACTGCATACAAATAGTAATAATAGAAGTACGTTTTATAGTAAAATACGTTCATTGACACTTAAATGACAGATTTCTAACCTAATGAAAAAAAACATAGCTAATAGACAGAACAATAACATAAATTATATAGCTAATTTATTAACTATGTACATGAAATAAAAGTTTGAAATGAAAAAACATAGAGTGAAATAAAAGATTTGTAAGCATGAAAGGAGATCTCACCTTGTCACTATATTTAAACACATACGAGATTTTTTGATTCGAAGCCGCTCAGCACTTGATGCTGAAAAAAAGCTTTATAATTTTACAAACCTAACGCACAAATTGGGATTAAAGCACTGTCGTTCGTATAATAACAATAACCTGTACGTTGCTATCAATTAAAAAAATCATTAGATCTGCTACAAAGGCGCAACGGCTTTACTACTGAGCGCACATCTCTGGCTTTCGGCAGTCTTTTCCATCATCCTTGCGACACGAACGAAGAGCACGTGCCCAAAGAGATCTCGCGTCGATGCTCCTATTAGACTCCTTTGTCGAACAACAGCTTCTCGCATTCGCCTCATAATAGCCGAGGCTCGCTTCCTTTAGGTCCCATTTCATAACGGTACGAGTACATTGCTACGATCAGTAAGCGGCCGCAGACCAGAAGCGCAGAAAGAAACAATCATTGGCCCTAACGTTATTGCGACCACCATGTCCAGTTACCTCTTGCGGTCATCCCTCTTAGCTAGGCGACCACAACAGAATCCCCGTTTGTCCCCTTACAATCTGGCGGAAGCAAATCCTCTTCGTAGGTTAAAAAAGGACTGAGAAAAGACGACATGCCGCAGTAATGACAAACTGTGTCACTCAGAGCTTACCTGGGAAGATATTCGAGGTTCTGTTTACATACCGTCTTTTTCAAGCAATAAACAACATAAACAGATTCACTATTTGTAACTGTATTAATGACGGCCGGCCAACGAGAAAGGATTTACCCCTAAGCTGTCGTTTCGTCCGCCCGTATAGCGTTATTTTAGGAGCCGTATATGATAAGTGGCCCTTTGTGTTTATGACATTTTTATGTTTAACCGAACTAGAGACGACGATAGGGGCAGCGCTAGAACGGGGAAAATTTTATCTCGGATAATTAGATACGTAAGAGTCGATAATGCGGTTTGGTTGGATAATGGAAATAGAAACGCTAAAAGCATCATTTTGCACCATTGGAATCTCACTGTTGCAACCATGAACCGGGTTAATGACGGTGAGGTCATTGAGCCCACATGAAGGTTTCATATTGGGGCAACACCACCTACAATGGCTTTCGCAGTCGTCCTGATGCTAGACAATATATGAATCGTCAACTCTTCAATTATCTATTCGTCTATAGCTGCGTCTCTTCCGATAAGGAACGGTTGCTATTAAGACTGACCTTAGTATAGCATTCCCTTCCTTTAGAAAAATTCTGACGAAATTCCAGTTCAAGCAAAAAACGGCTTTGTAACGTTCGTTTTGGAATTAATAAATTTCACTTGGAAGTATTAAATACCTATTCTGTAATAGCTGCAACCGGGATACTCTTTGGCAAATATCGAATTATAGCTAGGGACATAAATAGTAGATGAACCGCAAGCAGTTTCATCTCTGTGTCTCGACGACTATCTTTAATAGGTGCATTTTATTTATTCAAATAAATAAACAGGTCTGTGTCTTTACAAAGCTCGCTTTGAAGTAACAAACTGCTTTCTTGTTTAGGTTGTGATTTAGGTTGAAAACAATTTGAGTTTGCTATTTTCATCTATCCAATCCACACATATGTAGGTACTATGTATTTTGTGAATGAATAAAGTCCTTATATTTATTGCAATTTTTACCAATAGTTTAACAAATATGGGATGACAGGTATGGCCTGCCAAAGCGAAACGAGGACAACTATGATACCTCGTGAACTTGGTTTCATAGCTTTGGACTCTTTTGTTCCATTCTTTCGAATTTGTGCTGGCTCCAACGTTTGCACCCATGGCAAATTAACTATCTGTCAAAAAAGTGAACAAGCTCTATTTTTGCTCCGTGAACGGGTCTCTCGTGAATACATTGTGTTGACATTGCGTTTTAAATGACCGGACCACACATAGAAAGATAGTCAACGATAACGCGAGCAAAAGTAAAAAAAAAACGGCAAAATGAAAATAAGTAAAGTCTGTCAAGGTCTGTTAGAGAGAAAAATATGTAACGGGAAGAAGATGGGGCAGGACGAAAACGGTACCAGTAAAAGCCGATCTAAGAGACACCATCGTAGGTCTGGGCACTTGGTGAAAGATTATCTCAGAGCACGGACCATTAAACTTTATGATTCACAGGAGCTCAGAAAGCAGAATTTAGTTATGCGATTGGAAAGATTTGTTGCGCGTTGAAACTTGCACCTCTCAGGTAAATAAGACTGAAGGCACTGCTCAAGATATAAGCTCTATATAGAACGACGCGTACATGATGAATGATTTACGGCCTCTTAATGACCTGCGGACCCTATGACCGAAATTAAGCTGTCAGTTGTAATACACGTGGGATCGCTCATACGCTGTTAAATGTTACTTAACGAATCTTGTCAAGCGTTAAATACTATATATA